CGAGCGGCAGCTGCAGCGGATACATAAGCTGGGTTTTTATAATAATATATGCGGAAATAATACGCCTCTATTCATGTAAATAGAAATGTTCACCTATATACAAACAATGACGACGTAATAATCACATATAATTGAACACAGCCAACCCCCACCAACCTGCGCCGTCGATCCCCATATTATTGCCGATAGCCGTAATCCTAGCCGTTCAGCTAGTTGTTGAACGTTAATTTGACCAGGAATACAATGAAACAGCTGAGCTGCATTGAGCTGCTCTTCTTTGCAAGTTCAATGAAAATATGAATAAAAGTGTGAACACCGTCTACTTCTAGTTCTACACTGTGATGTAATAAGTTTTATTATGAATTGTTATTTTATTAAGCCGGGCAGCTGCAGCGAAAGCAAGAGCTTGGTTTTATTATTATAATACGATCTTTATCTATCCATGTTCGATCTATCCTTGGCCTATGCTCTATTCATGTACATAGAAATGTTCACCTATATACAAACAATGACGACGAGTAATAATCACATAATAATCACATAGAGGTAGCCCTAGTATGTTGACTATATCGTAGGCGTTCTTGATAGCCGTAGGAGTCGGTGCATGCTATATTGCGTATATATAGGGATTGGACCGTGAAGGTATAACTGCGAGCAGGCGAGTTCCAAGTTTTTCTGCGAAGTTTTTCTGCACAACAGCAATGAGGGCCTCCCCTCGACCGCAGGGGTAGACGAAGTTTTTGCTATAAGCAGCACGCTGGTCGCATGTAATATATGCAAAAACGGCAAAACGGGCTAGAGAGGAGATGCACGTGCTCGCACGACGTGCCGTCGCCACGGGCAGCGCGGGGTCAAGAGGTTGATAAAAACCTCGCACGTACGGAGCCAGGTAATATAGCTTCGCTCTTAATATAGACTTATAGTTTTTCGAAACTTGAGCCTCCATGGGCCTGTGCTCTAACAAACAATACAAGGCTTACACATGTGTGCGGTATGAACGTTCTTTTCTTTGTCAACATGTAGAAAGACGTGAACATTTAATGTAGTACACAGTTACGTCAAACTATTCTAACGACTACTATTAGGAGACTATTACGAGACTATTCGAAGGTTGTCTCACCTATGCACGTTTCCTCCTTTCGACTCCTGACATGGAAGAACCTTACACTTGCACGCAGTACAACGGCCTGGCATCATATATCGATGGATGAAACATCGATGGGTATGTATGAATTCGAAAGAAGATATGCTCTATGCTGTATGCTCTATGCAGAGGGCTATGGTATTATGCACTCTGCTGTGCCATATATATACATCCTTGCAGTATGACGTCATCATCGCACATCACAGCATGGGGGGGTATAAGAAACATACGGCTGCTGCTTTTCCACAGAACGTCTAGTGGCAGTTCTCAGTCTAAACAACATACAATCACTGAGGCCTGCGGGGTCCTAGATGGCTACGATAATTACACTGGGACGTGACGATTCGAGCTAGACTGGTACGCGACCTTAACTCGGCCAAGTCTGTTTTCGCTACACACAACGTTTATATTTAGTCAGCGTCTGAAACTCTCCACCGCGCAGCAGTCTAAGCCGAATCGCCGGTCCCTGGTGTGGAAAATTCTGTGAAAATCCCTCGAAGAGAGCCTCGTCGCGCCATCTATGGGACGCCATATGTACGAGAATAAGTTCAGGGCGTAAATTATAATAAATTGAAAATCGCTTTTCTACAGGAAAACCTAAAGCGGCCCACCATAAAACTACCAATTACGAGCACTCGGGATTTATTTCTCGCCCTAAGTGCAGAGTCGAAAGGGCTCTCTGCAATCGCCACAACTCCTCAATTGACCGATTATGCGGCTTTCTGTAGTACCAGAGGCTTCGAGTAGTTAGTTCTACATAGAGGGCAGCGAATTGGATCAAAAGGCGCCACGAGGCGGCGCTGTTCGCGCTTCGCGCGCGTATATCCGCGGCTGGCAGATCGTCTAGTACTAGTTCCTATTTATTCCTTCTTGTCAATAAGGAACTGGGAACTGGTAACTGCTTTGCCTAGTTACTATAATTCCTTATTCGAAAAAGGAACTGGGAACTGGTAACTGCTTTGCCTAGTTACTAGTTCCTTATTCGAATAAGGAACTGGGAACTGGGAACTGGTAACTGATTTGCCTAGTTACTAGTTCCTTATTCGAATAATGAACTGGGAACTGGGAGCTAACCTCCCTGAGCTCTGTTATTGAACTCCCTACATCCGCGATATATTTGTTGGACGAACACTCAAATGGCCAGTTTTAACTTTCCTACGCAATTAAGATGAAAGTGTCAATGACACTGTAGCTCACCACAAAAATGGCACAAATGAGTGAATGGGAACAAGTGCACCGAGTGGGGGGGGGGCAGTTTAGCCACCACAGTTTTAACAGTATTTAGTGGTACTATACTAAAGGTATTAATTACTTCTAATTCATTCCTTCATTGTTCTTAGCATAAAATAACTACTTTCTAGTAACATATGTACTACAAAATCGCAACCCCCCAAAAAAATAACCCCAGCAAGCCGCGGTTTCTTGGCGCTAGCAAGACGGTAACGTTTTTATAATATTCAGATTTAGGCACTGCCTAAAAGCGGAGCTCCCGATGTGTAACGTGTAAGATTGAGAGGATACGCTTATTCCACGTAGCTGCTATATACCACGTGACAATGGTGTTTCCCTGCCCATAGCACAACTTTTCTCAAAGGTTAATTGGTTGATGGAAATGTTTACTTCGTATGAATTTTTCTAGGCGGTAGCACACGGTTGCCATCTGTATATCGCAATAATAATTTATAAACCAAAATGAATCACAATTTGTGACGGTAGATGACGCTTATACCCGCTTTGATGTTTCTTAGCGGATGGCGTTCGAAATAATGGTTATGCGTTCACGACATGTTTTGTAAAAACTTTACTCTAATATAGACGTTTTATCAGCAGGGTGGAGAGGAAATACTAACTTTTGCATAAAGATATTGTTAATGAAATCTTGTAAAACGAACGCAGACGAGTGTGACACCACAGACTGTTATCTGCGTGTCTATATAATATGCTATATAATTGCCAAAACCTACCTAATTTGGCATAATTTTCTTTTAAATATCAAAACCCTTGTTATACGTTTTGGGGCCAGCCCTTATTTATTCACATACCAAAAATGAGCAAAATCCGTTGAACCTGAACTGACTAATGGCAATTTCCATTTTTGCCAAAAAATTGCCGTGGCTCGAAAGTACGTCGACTGGCGTGCTCCAAAATAGAACGTTCAAACCTCTCCCATAGCAGTAACAACTATACCCAATTTCAAACATGTGGGTCAAACGGTTCCTGAGTTATCGTTGACCGTAGCCAATTAAATGTTGACGGAAGGACGGACGGACGTACGGCGGACGCCGACCCATGGCAATAGCTCATCTTGACGATGTCAAGGTGAGGTAAAAAAATCATACCATCATACAAGAGCTCACAATGCGGCGTCGTTTTACTGCACTTGTTCAGCACACGAATTTATACGAATAAGACGAAAAATCTATTTATACTTTTCTCTATAGGACGAGTTATGCGGCACAGAGGTATAGCACAGCGATCCCATTAATACAGCCAAAGGCTAGAACACGACACCGCAAGTCCGACAGTGACGCACTATACATACAACCTTAACCTAACACATGGGAACTAATCCATTACACGGGCAGTGCTCACCGACTAAGTGCAAAGACGATTACGTGACTTCATCATGATATTTCAGAAACAGTTATATGAGAACAGTGTCTAGATTCTCTAAAATACGAAATACGCGCGGACCCTAGCTGCTACATGTGTCCTGAAGTGCTGTACTGTGCGCGCATGCATACTCCTTTTCCCAAACCTACGATGCTTTGTCTCTGAAGGTTATATACGTGATTTTGTTTGCTTGACTAAGCAAATTTGTAAAACAAACTTAACTCTAAACAATCGCTCTAACTTTAAGCAATACTTATAACTCCGTAATTAATCTGCGATTTGTTTCGTCTTAACACCCGTTTTCGCACTATCAAACATTTTTTTTTATCCGACCACCTATAGGTGCCGTCTAGGCCGAATAACCGCTACTCAACTGTAGTCGCATATAATCAGCCGGTAATAATCAGAGGTGGTATGCTAGAACAATCTCTGACCACCATCCACGGCAACACGCACACGCAGACGTGCATAAACGCACGCACGCACGCACGCACGCACGCACGCACACATATATTCAAGTACACGACACTCATATACAGTGGCGACACACAGGTCAAATTAAACTTATTTCAGGCAAGACAACTGCCGCCTTCAATTGTTTGTTTTAAAACATTTAAGGATTTAACTGGTATTGCACTAATGAAGATTAAACGTTTATTGACGAATGAATCGAATCAATCACTTGTTTTATTTATAGAGGAGATATATCTCTATGCTCAAGGCAAACAATTTCATGAAATTTCCAGCACCTAATTATGTTACAACAACAAAAATGGTATTTTGGATATTTCTCAATTACCAGAAAGAGTGAGGATACAAAATTTTCACCACATGTTAAGCACAATATGTACCAAAATAGCGCATCAGGATTTTTCTTTAAGTTTCATATTTACTGAGAAAAATTTTAAAAACTGCCTAAATTTCAAGTCGCACGTTTGAATTTAAAATTTTTGCGAATAAAGAGACATCTCATAAAATACGGCATTTAATAACAATCCCTGACGCGCTTTTTTACAGCAATATGTTACCATTAAAACGAGTGTAACATTAAATTATTCCGAGTTGTAATCACAGAGAAATATCCATTTATACATCGACTACTAAGTCAGAAATTGGAACGGAGAAATCAGCGTTTTTCTGACGTCAGCCACGGCTCACTACACATGTACGCGGGCAAGCAAAATGCTCTGACAGTTCACATGTACCATTATACGGAGAAATGAGCATGTACACAGATGGCACATAGTGTTAGGCATCGAATAAAGTTGAAAACGAAAAATCGATACAAAATTTCCTAAAACCTTGAGAGTATCCTTAAGGCATTACAAGTCAGAGGAGCACCATGTCAAACATTTCCATCGACAAAGGGACGTTTTGAGGCAAACTTGCGAAAACTTTTCTCTCAAAAACCATTTTATGTAGATTTACATGCCCTACACACGCGATTTACCGCAAGGTAACAAAAGTACACAAGACATAGCAACCACGCTGGTTTACTGCTGTAGACATCATCTTACTTTCAGAGACGCACTCTGCAAACGAGAATGGAAACCACGGCACTTGTGCACACGCCGGTGCCGCGGCGATTATCGATCCCTTCTCTAGTTGCATTCTTCAGCCCGCCCGACCGTCCGCGCGCTGCGTCTGCGCATCTCTGGGGAAAGGAGCGCGAGTTAATCACGTGCGGCATCACACTAGCGCACAGGCCGACTCTGGATTTCTCGTAACAGCTGCAGTGGCGGCGGCGCGTCGTCGACGCAGAGGCGGCGGAACAGCGCCCTCTCGCAGCGATCGCACTCCACCTTCTCCTCCAGCCGGGCGGCGCGCGCGTGCGCGGCGCGGAGGACGCGTGCCGGAATGCCGGCCAGCCTCGCAACGTTGAGGCCGTAGCTGCGGCTTGCCGCGCCCGCCGTCAGACGGTAGAGAAACGTCACCTCGGCCGGCCGACCATTGCCACCTCCCCTGGCTCGCTGCTGCCAGCCTGAGAGGCTAAGGTCGCTACCGCCGCATCCATCCTCACCACCGCCATCGCCCTCGTCAACGTCATTGCCGCGATCGTCGTCGCTGCCATCGTCACTATTTCCGTCGTCGTTGCCGGTGTCGCCCTCTAGCATGAACGCCATGTGGTAGTTGGCGATGCAGTGCGGGAGGCTCGTCTCGAGCGCGGCGACGTGCGGGTAATGCGTCACGAACAGCGTCAGGCATCGCAGCTCCGTGGCGACGTATCGCAGCGTTGCCGTGGCGATCGCCGCGCCGTCGTGCGTGCTCGTGCCGCGGCCGAGCTCGTCGAGCACGACGAGCGACCGGCAGGTGGCGCTGGCGAGGATCTCTGCCGTCTCGGCGAGCTCGAGCATGAACGTGCTCTGACCGCGCAGGATGGCGTCGCGCGCGCCCATGCGCACGTGCACGGCGTCGACGACGCCGACAACGGCGGCGCGCGCCGCCACCCACGAGCCGACCTGCGCCATGATGCACGCGAGTGCCACCTGCCGCACGTACGAGCTCTTGCCGCCCATGTTGGGGCCCGTGACGACGACGCAGCGCCGCCCGCCCGCGTCCAGGTCGGCGTCGTTCGCGACGTACGCGCGGCCCGCGGCCTCCATCGCCGCGGCGACGACGGGATGCCGGCCCGCCTTGAAGTGCAGCACGGGGCCGTGCTCGACCATCAGCGGGCGAGCGTACCCGCTCTGCCGCGCCGTCTCGGCGAGCGACAGCAAGCAGTCGAGCTCGGCCAGCCGCCGCACCGCCACCCGGTTCGCTCCGTGCTCTGCGCCGAAGCGCGCAAGAAACTCCCGCCAGGCGGCGCCACAGTCGACGTGCAGCTGCTCGCGCAGCGCGCACAGGCGGCCATGGAGCCGCGCCGCTGTCGGGCTGCGGAAGCGCGTGACGGCCTTCGTCGCGCCGACGCGCGTCCAGTCGGCCGGCACGGACGCGAGCAGCGAGTTCCTGACCTCGACGAGGTACTCGGCGCCCGACACGGTGACGTAGTCGATCGCGGGCATGCGCAGGATGTAGCGGATCTCGCGGCGGTGCGCGACCAGCTCCGTCTCCACGTCGCGTATCGCCCCGCGCGTCGCCGCGACCGCCGGCGTCGCGTCGGCCGCGCGCAACACGCGCAGCTTGTCGCCGCGCCGCGCCGCCGCCGCGTCGATCGCCGCGAGGTGGTCGCCGACGCCGGCGAGGCGCGCGGGGAGCTGCGCGACGATGTCACGCAGCAGCGGCGAGCGCGGGGCGTCGTCGGCGTGCGCGGCGGCGGCGACGCGCTGCAGGGACTGCGCGACGGAGAGGAACTCTAGCGTCGAGCAGCGCTGGTAGTAGATGTTGCAGAGACCTCGCTCGACGTCCGGCATCTTCCCGAGTAGCGCCGCTAGCTCGACGATAACCCCGCAGTTACCTGCAGAGAGAGAGTCAAACCTGGTTGTAAAGGTCGCACGACGAAGGCTTCTTTTACAAACAGGTGTCCGTTCCGTAGAGGTGGTTTTATCGTACAATTACCAATCAGAGGAAATGCCCCAAACTATAACCTTCATAGCCAGGTGTCCATTCTATAGAGACGGCAGCTAACACAGGTTTAACAACAGGATCACCCCAGTGGTACACGTGGCAATTGGCGACCCCCCCCCCCCATAAGCAATCATTACTCCTATAACTACTAGATACTACTACTAGATTCCAGTAAAACGATACTGAAAACCACAGGATTGCACTTCACGTCACGCAAATGCACTAGCTTATGTGTCTGTATACCATATGTGCACATTTCTAGTTGCACGTTTCTGTACATGAGATCATTCTCTCTTTGATAATGTCGACAGATTCTATGCACGATGCAACGTCAATAAATCGAGCCTTTAATTTCCTTTGACTTTCTACACGTGTGCATAGATATTCCAATATCTCGTCTGAAAAACGTAGTAGGATGAGAATGAATACCTGCTATAATTTCAGCAACCGCATCCTGCCTCTGCTCAATCTTCTTAATGTCGCAGAGCGGTTGAGAGAGCCAGTGTTTAAACAGGCGGCTACCGAACTTTGTCCTGGTGTGATCCATCACCGACAGCAAGCTACCCTGCACCCTGTGATCCGTACTGTTCTGAAATATCTAGAAATAAAATTGATTACGCAATTTACCTCTCATTTAATTGCCCCCTAATTGCAATAATTACGATTGATGCTTTTTGTCCATATAGACAACTTTTAGTTTCCACGAAACCTCTTGTCTGTCGTGGCTTATTATATTTCCAATAGATGGTTTAAATTCTGTGAGACGTCCTAGTTGGGAATATAGACAAGATGGCATTCTATGATCCTCCTGTTTATTACTACGAGGTTTCTAAATAAAATTCCCGAAACCCTTCCATGAGATAATACGGTTAGTAGGCTCGCAACAGCGTTGATAACAGTGAACACGGCCCCGTACACACCTCTAACGAACAGAGGGCCTGTGCATTTAACTTCATGTGGTCGGTGCTCTCAGAGAAATGTCGCATGTTGCACGAGAGCTTTAACACTGTGTCGAGATTGAACTCCTTTAAATACTGTGCGACTGCTGTCAGGCACTTGACCACACCATCGGGAAGCTGGTCGCACCGGCCTGCGTTGAAGCTGTCCACTTGTTCAGAACTTTCAGGTACGAATGCAGCACCTGCAATGCACGTGAAAAAAACGATACTACGTGGTTCGAATGTTATGGCGACCTAGTGTTAATTATGGTGCCATAAGCAAAACTGCAGAATACACGACGTGAAACAACGTGTTTAGTTGTTCATAGTATCAGCTGTAGCTTGATAGATGGCAACTTTGCAAAAATCTCCATGTTGTGAGCTTATCCAATCCCCTCTGATTGAGGGTTTATAGTCCCCTCGAAAAAGGTTACAGTGATATTACACTTTCAAAAGCAGGTGTAAGCCACTCTGAATAAATTCAATCTAGAACCAGGCACGCAATCGGACAGGCTACTTTCCAGACGATATCGAGCCATTACCGGGTAGTCTCTCGACACGAGGGTGTTCATCTCCCGTATACGCCGAGATGCCCTTCACAAGATTTTCGACATCTGCACTCAGTGCTTCCGGCAATAGGAACTCGACCGGCTGTATGTGCGAGATGACGGCAAGCAGACGACTGCAGCTTCTCTCGTCATCAAATTCGTCGTAAACAATGTCGCCTAACAACACAAAGTGAAGAACAATGGTAAACAAATCTCGCTAACCAGCCAAACACTATCGCAAACTGACGTGGGTCTTCTTGTTAACTACAGAGATTAGTTTTGCACTAGGAGAGTATCACATAATATTTACTTGCGATTACATTTACCTTTGTCAGGATCTAGTTGATTAAATATTAATTTTAAAATGGTAGTTCATTTGTTGCTCAACTGTTATCATGTATGCTTGAATAACATATTAATTTAATAGGCAGTATAAAAATGATCACTATTCTATATGCAGAAGTGGAATTAAAAATGTTTAAGAACAAGAAAATTAGTGCTTTGAGTTCAATAGTTTGTAGAGGCACCAAGACAGTGCTTTGAGTTCAGTAGTTTGTAGAGGCACCAAGACAACTTACCTTTAACATCTATTAATTATTTCCCCAAAGAAACCTTTAAAAATTCCACAATTACTATTAAGTATAATGTAAAACAGAGTACAATCACCTGTGCCGGGTTGGACAGCTACGACTGAAATGCTGTGCAGCTTTGAACCAACAATGATGCATTCGTTGATGCACATGAGGTAGTTTGCAGGAGGCAGCAAGTCATCTCTGCTCTCCTCGTCAGAGTACGCGCCCTGAGACAGCGGATTCACATCCTCACCAAGAAGTGTAGATTTCGTGTACACTGCTGACACCTCTCTGCTAAAGAGGGAACTTTTGGTGTCACCTGCAAAAAGACTCACATTGATCCGAACTACTTCACAGATAGATGACTCTCTTACATTAACTATAGCTCTAACAGTATTAGCACCAAATGTTTCTAAAAAGTCAGCACGAACATGTCAGGATTAATATACCGTATTTCACGACTAATATAACGCTCTGATGCAACAGATGCATCATAAAAATAGAAGGTAGTAATCTGAAAAAAAGGTTTGATTGCAAAATAGCCCTCCGCATTACCGTAAAAAAGTTGCTCCCTTGCTTTTTTCTATATTTAGCTCTCAAATTCCATGTATTTCTTAAGCCCTCCTCACAATCATTGGCTATATATAGTATATACTATAGGGTATTCTAATGAGTTGTATAATATACTGTATTTTATCTAATAAAATCATAGCTATAGCAATATCCACCACATCGAGCTTTAGCATATAGAATGCAAGATGGGTTTTGGAGGCATTTTCTGAAGAAAAGCATCCCAAAAGCTGCAAAACAAAGGCCTAGATTCTAAGATGATCTCTATATATACATATTTTCAGCAGTGAATAATAATAGAATCTATTATTATTCACTTCTGATATTTCCATACGATCACTGCTATCGTTGCCTAAGACAACACACCTGCCGCCTTGAGAGCCGAGGTCTCCGTCTGCTTGACGACGGCAACCTTGTGGCCGGCTGCCACCAGGCGGCGCAGGTGTACAAACAGCCGATGCGTCGGAATGCTCGCAGTCATGAAGTTATGGTCGAGGTGACAGAAAATGTTGAGCTCTTTCGCAGCAATCTCAGCATCAGTGCCAAAAAACCTACAAACATGTTTATATAGTTAGGACAGTTTCAAATTGCACATACCATTTTAAATAGTGCGCATGCGTGAGCATTGCACTTAATCAAGTTAACAAGCAACCACGAGGCAATAAAAACTATAAGAAATACACTTTGTGTGAACACTGTGCATTCAATAAGTAGTTATTAGTTGTAGAAAAAATATAGGAAGTTAGGTAAAAGCAGAAATATACATCAGTTTATTAAGTAACAAGAGCCGCAAAGCGTCTGGGCTCATCTGAGGTCTGTTGCTACGATTATATACGTAAAATTTCAGTCGTGCGTAGTACCACATTTGTTACGCGCAGATATGCAGACACGCAGTTGCGTACACATCATTGTTAGGACACGCCCACTATCGCAGATGGAGGGTAGGGGGAGGGGGTGAGGGAGGGGGAAGGGGGAGGGTGGGAAGTGGGGGCTCTAATAGCAAAAGCAGTTCACTCCTTTGTTAACAGTCAACAAATCCATGTTTAAATCCCTCCTCTTGAGGGTCAAAAGGTTATCAGACACTTACTCTTCGCACGTCAGTGGAAAGCACATTTCATGGTCCTTTCAATAAAGCCATAAAAATGGTAGGTCACTGCTGAAACAAAAAAGTTTTTCAATTGCTCCGTCAGACCATGTCCTCAGAAAATGTCTAAAATCTGCCCTGTGCCCATTGACCTTTGACCTGTGACCTCCAATTTCGGCACAGTGATGGCTTTTCCTACCATGATGCTATACACCGACTATCACGAGCCTAGGTCGAGCCGTTTAGATTTGTGCCGCAATTCTGCATTTCCTCCCTATACCTTAAGTTAAGGAGTGAATGTTCCCCCTTATTTTACACCGCTTGACCTTTGACCTTTGACCCCCAGCTTCGACATCCCAACTCGTTTTCGGATTACCCCCCCACGTCCCGAATATCGTGACCGTACGTCGAGCGGTTAAGATTTGTGCCCAACTGTTGACGGACGGACGCACGGACGGACGGACGGACGCACGGACGGACGGACGATCATGCGATTCTACAAGCTGCATCTGACTATGTCAGATGAGCTAACAAAAAGTAAACATGCCACTTGCCTGTACTTGTAGCCACATTCCACCATGAGGAGAGTACCTGGGTGTTTTTCTTTGATAGCAACAATCTGTTGTTCCAACGGTGTGTATTTTAAATTTCGGCCTGGAAGCCGAGTTCCATCGTCTGTCAGTGTTGAACTATCGCCAAGCTTTGGACTGGTAGAGTCTGGACTAACATTGCGATTCCGTGAATATGTTTCTAGATGTGATGTCAAAGATTTGCCAGACTCACAAACTGTATGCGAGCGTAAAATGCCTTCTTCTAAAATGTCCGGTACATCGTCATTTTTCTCCCTAACATTGTTCTGATTAGCTACGAACGTTTCTAATTTCATCAAGGTAGAAGAACAGACTAATCTTTCGTTAGGTGGCGCATTAGCTGACATTGCTGGTGAAACTGTATCAGTATTCGTTGGCAACTCATCTCCTTTCTCCAGTTCGATAAGTTCTACCTTCCTCTTCTTACGAGCAGGTTCATTGTGGACACACTTCTTTACACTATCCGGTGCTGCTTCTGTAGTCTTGCCTGGCACTACATGCTGGGCTTTCTTTACGCCATCTATAAAACAGGTAATTCGTGGGAGTATCTTAATTTTAACTGGAAGTTATATTAATGTAATCAGTATAGTTAATGTAACAATTCAACAACAAAATATAATAGACAACGAGTAGTGAGACTTACCTGATTTAGCCGAACAACAAGTTTTATTCGAAGGAACATTAGACGTACGCACTTTAAAATAATGTGATATATTTGCTTGCTTTGGCATGTTGACTGTTTTCGTATTTTTTTTACAATTTAGAATCAGATCTCAATAATCATAACCATTGCATTGATGATTTGTATCCACGATATTGAATGTTGTCTGTATATCTGAAAATAACAAACCATAAAGAATGAAACCACACCTGAAATCAGAAGTACGTACATTGGTGAGCCGAATTCAGAATAATGTGTCACCGTGTAGCATTGGTCATTCCATCAGGTTGGGAACAAAGTGTGACATGATAGTGAAATTTTGAAAATGTTCAAAAAGTAAATCTATCTATATTTTCGAATAAGAAAACTATCACTTTAAAATTTAGAAACAATTATATGTTGTAGGTGTACAGGAAATTTGTCAGTGTACCATACATAATGGCCTGTCACAGAACTGTCATGGCGCTCCAACGTAACAAAATTTCGACTGACACCACCAGTTGGTGTATTTTTGCACAAACACCAATCAATTTTTTAGAAACTGGATTTTCTAAAAATTATTTTCATACAATCAAACTTACAACTCAACTACAATAACAACAAATTAAATATGATATGTTACATTTTTTTCTTCGTGGAAGTAACTACTTACACCTGCGTGAATGGACGTAACAATTTGCGATGTGTTGACACCATAGAAGTTACGTCGAAGTGGTTGTTTTTTTTTACGATCACAGCTGATGTGTTTGGGATTTTCAGACAGTGAAAGTAGTTTTTCATGAAGTCTCAGTCTGGAGAGGTTTGGGGTATTTCTCGAACGTAAAACCATAAGAAAATTTTGAAATATGCATTGTTAATATGAAACGAAATACTTCTTTTCATAGTTTCCACATGTCACACATATTTTTACAAATACAACTCCTGACACCATCATTTGTCGGTTTTTTTTAACAGTGAAATTTTGTCCAATGGCAATGCACTGGCAGCGAGTTTGGTCTTGCTTTGATTGAAGCTTAGGTTTTGACTTTGTCACAAGCTACAGCCGGTTATAATGACATAGTCACATACTTGTTCATAATGTTCATACATACATACATACATAATACATACATACATATACATACATACATACATAAAAACATACATACGCATCTTAAAAGCAACTTCAAATGTTATATAGTGCTGCATACGCAATGTTCCCCAACCCAATGGAATGACCCACAGGCACTTGAAGCGTTTCATCTGTAAACACACGCCGCCGCCATTGCTGCTGCGCTCACTGACACATAAATATACCCCATAGGCATATAGGCCTACAAGTTCAACTACATGATCATATTCATATTCGTGATGATAGCTATAGGCCCCGGGGGGGGGTCACTATATATGCCGGTATTACCCCATGTGCGTTCCAAATTTTGCGGGTTAGGGGGTACGTGTTTTTCAACTTCTAAAGCGGGCCCGCGCGAGAGCAAATAGGCACCCCTTTACAAAGCTAATCCCGCAATAAGCCCTCGGGATCGTTCAAGTCAAGCACCGCGCCCGCAGTAGGCCCCCCTCACGGGCCCCCTCCATTCCCTCCACTCTTTGCCCTCCACTTGTCTGCAAGACCTCGCAATAGGGGGTAGGGGTCCGGGTAGGACTCTTGGCAGTCTTGCTCTTTCATTGTGTATGCAATAGGGGGTGGTATTCTTCAATTGTGTCTGCAATAGGGGGTAGGGTTTTCCAATGTGCAGTTCGCACTAGGGGGCCTATTATTTTTACTTTTAGTGAGAACGCACATGGGGTAATACCGGCATATATAGTGACCCCACCGGGAGCTAGGCCTACCTGCCGCGCGCTTGGCAAGCTCGACTTTATATGGCCCGTGCTAATTAACCATGAACATATAATAGTAACTACAGAGCGGCATTTTATAACTTGAACTTATTATCAAAGATCATGAACAATCACGTACATATACCACTAAGTAGCCAATATAAGAATCATAACAATCTTTATCGTAACCTTTCACAATAGTTTAGTCAGTCAGTCTGGTTTAGTTTGGCGCCACTTGATCACGTTAGTCGCGCTCTCACTGCCCTCTACAGTTGCGCAGGTAGCGCCTAATGTTTTTAGTAGATTTCTTCATAGCGGACCACAATAAATTACCTTGTAAAGTTGTATTTAGGGTTCTTAGGCATTGAACTCTTGTTTGAGAACAGGGTTATGGATTCTCCGTTTAGTGTGTGCGTTCCTGCAACACCTTTGATATCACAAACGGTCCACAGACCTATGCAGCTCCTCACTGTGCCAGACATAGAGAGCCAATCCATAGCGAGTCCTGCAGCAAACAGAGGCCAACCTGTGGCCGTTGTACCTGGTACACGTAAGTAAGGCTCATAGGGTCTATCACAGACTAACGGATACATCCGTTAGTCTGTGGGTCTATGTCCTCCAGGGTACTGCCGGAACGTACCCTGGTAACTATCTGATATGGTTAGCGTTAGGGTTAGGGTTAGGGAGTAGGCGTAGGCGACTCCCTAGACTCGTTAGTGGAGTAGGCAACTCCCTAGACCCGTTAGTGGAGTAGGCGAGGTACGGTCCGGCATATTAGATAGTACCAGCAGAGCATATAAATCACGTTGATTTATATGATATGCTCTGGTACCCGGGTACGTTCCGGTATACCGGACCGTACCCAGGGTACGTTCCGGCAGTACCCTGGGGGACATAGACTCTCTCAGCGTAAGTATGATCAGCCGTTGGCTTTGGCATTGCATTATAGTTGGTATTTACTTTTGGTTATAAGTTACTATTGGTTTCTACAAGTTACTATTATTAGTTAAAATTTGCGTGTCCTGGTTTGCAACAGTCAGAAAACTGTTACTGGGTACATGATTATAATAGGCCTATTCTGTATTCATTGATTCACCTCATTCTATCTGATTTCTACCTGCTCTGACACTTGCGTTTACACTGTGCGTTACAGTTACACTTACAGTCATCCAAAAATAACCGTGTCCTGTTGTAGGTTCTATCGATGAACGGTGGGAAAATATTCAATATATATAATATTTTACTCTTCAATAACAATTACTTTACTGCTTCAGCCTTTCCAGACACTCACCCATGTTCAACTCCACAACTGCCACTGGCTATGCTACATCACACTCACTTGACACCACTTCCTTGTACACCACAACGAATTCAACAATTTACATCCAACAACCCTTGCCATGAATTTGATCAAAGTAAGTTGATTAACAACCCATAATAGGAGGATAATACGTAATAATCATCTACTACAACCTACATTATTGATTTAGCTTGGACTTTCCTTAATTAGTTCTTAGTTCACTTTTTAAAACTCAATATGTTGTAATAGAGCGTACACATATTGATAAAGAAAGTTCGAGGTTAAAAGTGGACATCGGGCAGGGTTAGCCTATTTAATTTAATCAAAACAGTCCAGTGTATCCTGATGACGTGATGCAATTAGTTATTGATAAATTATCCGTGCAGGAAAACAACTGGATCAAGTTGTGCCAAGAACACCTTGTCAATGCAAGCACATGGTTAAATCATCACCCGCATGTGAAAGTGTAACCCCTCTAACTTCAAATACTGCACTACCTGATGTTCTCAGTCCGACAGTTCTAACACCAACAGGTGATTCAATTAACGTCAATTATTTTTTTACAGTACTGCTGTTTACAGCTTATGATTTATCACTTATAACATTAATACTTATATACAGAGATTGTCACTAATACTGCAAAGAAAAACTCATTTGTATCATGGCAGCTACGTGATTGTACATTCCATTGACAGACGTTACAAGGGATCGAAGCACTGCTAGGCAGAGAAGAACAGCAGCACTGAGGGGAGCGGGTGATTCCACTCTTGATGAAAGTGCTGACGAGAATAGGTGTTCCACGTCAGATATACTAGACTGGATTGTTTAGTTAACAGCTACGTGAATCAACCATAATAGACGGCCAGTGAGAATAATATGTATTGCTTTTTATAAATAAATATGTGCTGTACAAGTATAGATATATATGTCAAAAATCTTTTACGTTCGTGTGTACTGTTTTGTATGGCATGTTGTTTGTGTCGATTTTTCGATAATTCGATTTTTGTTTTATGGTTGATTTTATCGCATATAACATTCGATTTATCACATATAACATTCGATTTATCACATATAACATTCGATTTATCTCAATCAGCAGTAAATACACCGCGAGAGCTGCGAATCTGATAGCAGATATATCTTAATTGAGCATCGACGGCACAGCGCAATCGAATCATTCGATTCACAACAATCAATCGAATCAATTCGCACGCATCATCGACGCTGCGTGATCGAATGAGTTCGATGCGCGGAGGGTGGGAGCTCGAATGATATCGACTGCATAACATTCGATTCACGCATCGAAATGATTCGGGATTCACCGCGAGCGGAATCAATATCGCAGCTCGAATTACACACGCATCGAATTGATGGTGCATCTCGAATCATCGAACTGAATGCGTGAATCGAGAATGCATTCGATGCGTGAATCGAATCATTCGAGTGCGTGAATGCGAATCATTTCAGATTCCGTGAAATCGAATGAATGCATCGAATATTCGATTCCACGCATACGAAATGATCTCGATTCACGCGATATCGAATGATGCATCAATGCAATTCGATGCGTGAATCGAATGATTCGATTGCGCGAATTGAAATGATTCGATGCAGTCATTTCGATTTCACGCATCGAATCCATTCGATGTCACGCATCGAATGCATTTCGATTCACGCATCCGAATCATTCGATCACGCAGTCGAAATGATGTCATCGTATGAGCCGATGAAAGTGAATCGAATGATTCGATGCGTGAATACGAATGTTCGATGCGTAATGCGAATGATTCGATAAAAACGCGAGGAATCGAATGATCTCGATGCATCATTCAGATTCACGCCATCGAAATCATCGATTAACCGCAATCGAATGCATTCGATTCCCAATTCTATCTCATTTTTTGCGAATCATGTCGATTTCACCATCGAATCATTCGAGATTCAACAGCATCGAATCATTTGATGCATCAATCGATGCCGTGAATCGAAATGATTCGATGCGCAATCGAAATGATTCGCATGCAGTGAATCCAAAAGATTCGATGCGTGACAATCGAATCGATGCAATGTCGAATAACATTCAATTCGCCCGCATCGAATCATCACTCGATTCACGGCATCGTAATGAGCGAATCGACATGATCTCGACTGCGTGATAATCGGATGTTCGACTCCGTGAATCGATGATTCGATGCGCGAATCGAATGATTATCCGATGCGCGAATCGAATGATTCGAAGCATTTCATTCGACTTCCACGCATACGAAATCATTCGGATCACGCCATCGAAATCATTCGATTTCGACGCATTCGAATCATTACGATTCATCGCCAATCGAATGATGCATTCGAGATGAATTCAATGCGTAGGACAGTCGAATGATTCGATGCGTGAATCGAATGATTCGAGTGCGTGAATCGAATGATTCGATCCGTCGAATCGAATGATGCATGTCGATGCATTCGATCAGCGCATCGAAATGTCGCATTCACGCATCTGAAATGATCAATCCGAATCATTCGATTCCAAGGCAATCGAATGAAATTTGAATCGCAATCTATGAAACAGAATACACACCATAGTTTTGGTGTATATTTAATTAATTTACGGTTTGCGATTATTTACTCCTGATAATATATGTGTGTGCGTGCGTGTGCGCGTGCAGCGTTGGTGCGTACGTGTCTGTGTGACTGTGGTTCAATGATCTAGTTTCCATTTCTTAAACTTTTATTTTTTAATTCGTGTAAAATTAAGCGTATAGAGTCATATTCAAAATTATTTATTTTTGGGGGTTTTATATCCGGTCCAGCCCAACAAGATAATATAGTAAACAGTCTATGCTTTGTTGTCCTCAAAGAATCGCCTTGGCCAAGTTCGTTCATGATATAATACATTATTACGGAATATTATGTTTATATCTAGCACTTTGTTCGTTTATATTTACTGATTGTGAAAAATGTCCTACCACTAAAATATCGGTTCTTGTCGCTCAGCAGAGAAGCGACGCATCGAACACGTCATTTAAAAAAAGTATTAATGACGTTTTATACTTATGATGTCCCCCCCCCCAGAAAAAAAAATAATACTATTTAGGTTTGGGGCAATCGCGCCGTTCAACTGAAAATTCGGGTTAAGACTATCCGCGCTCATTCTAATCTCCTCATAAAACCAGAGGTAATAAATAAAATCAACCTACTCCCGGTAGTCTACCGTTGATCAAAAAAACACGAAACTAATAACTAGCTTATCGCTCAATCAGCTGTTGCACATCGCCAGATAAAGTGAAACAATTAACAATCAACAATGATCTAACGTTCACAGCGTTACGTTCTAAGGCAGCAACCGTATCGTAGTTTCGTCTAGCTCGCAGTTTGCTTGCAAATAGACGCGTCTTTCTTCCAACTTGAGCAGTTAAAATCATGACTTAATACACAAAGGCATCCGTGTAACAGCCAAGTAAAGACATCGGTGGGCCAGAAAGTGAGTGTAATTTATTAAGAAATATAATAATATAATATTAATTATGGCTGATTTATCGAGTTTTAGTTACGTTGATAAAGTCGTACGTGTGCTAAAATATAATAATCTTGTTACAGTTTGATGGCACTAGAATAAATGATATACCGAAAAACTGGACAGGCTGCAGAACTTCCCCTTACGGTAAGGGCATCATCACCCTCAATTCAGGTCCCAGCGTTTCCACTATTGACAATTTCTGTCTATGTAATATGAAACAGAAAGAGATGATAAAATGAATTATAAATCATTTAGTTAAGATTACGGCCAAAGCTATAGCGCGTCCACACGAGCAATGAGTACGTTGGTGTGGTGTAGAGCACTATCTCCACAAAAATGGTGCGTAAATAACCCGGGTTTAAAAAAAACGTTAAAAAATGTCGCGGCTTGTGCCGTCACGTGAGTCGGCGTAAATTTTACTCGTGGCCAGAACCTTCTGATAATTATTTTCTACATGTTACGTTGTTACACTAACAACGCTACATGAATATTATTGCCTATTTATTAATTGTACATGCAAAGATTATGCCATGCAACATTTCTGCAATGTACACCATTACACCTAACTGAAAAAATCGGTCTGATCTGCTTGAAACATCTTTCGCATTGGGACGCTAACATCTACGCGAGAAAGCAATACACGTGTATAAATTTCTGCGTAAGAGTTTTGATTCAGGCAGCTAACGATGAAGCGCGGTGGCGACCTGAGAAAGTGTTCGTAAGAGAGAAGAGCTCGCATTCGCATAGTGCGGCTAGCGAGGCGGCTAAAGCGCAAGCTGCCGCTCCTGAAAAGTTGACACCTTTAAAGCTCCACAAACCGCACATTCCCGGCCCAGCCACTGCTAAGTCTGGTAAAGTAAAAACAATAACGGTGTGCGGTCGCCGTGAGTGGTGGCGTGCGTTGCGTGCCGTGAGTGTGCGTGCGTGCAGTGTGTGCGTGCGTGCGTGCCGAGGTGATCGAGGCGCAAGACGCGTGTGGATTGAGACAGCAGGTATGGGTGTTGTGTGTGCGCGATGCCCGTGGCGTGAGTGCGGGGTGCGTGCATGTTGAGTGAGGCGCCACGCGTGGATTAAGCGAGGAGTAAGTGGTGTGCGCACGTGTGTGTGTGTGCGCGGCCGTGAAGTGCGTGCGTGAGTGTGTGCGTCGCGTGCGTGAGTGGAGTGAAGTGAGTGATGCGCGAACAGCGGTGATTGAGGGTGAGGGTTTGTGTTGTGTGTGCGCACGTGTGGTGCGTGCGGCGTGCGTGTGTGGGTGTGGTGTGTGATGTGCGCGCGCGCGCGCGTGTTTGTGTGTGGGTCCGGTGGTAAACGTTTGATGTGTCCGTGAATTACGGTCGTATGTGCGTGATTGTGTTGCGGCGTGGCGGCGCCTGGATGTATATACGGAATATCTGCGCGCCATCTATAAATCCCTCTTCGGCGTATCGTTTCACAAAACCGCACTTATTTTACACACGGGCAATTTGGATTGCTTGGAGCTGGTTTGGCGTCATAAAAATCTTACACGGGCGGGACAGAATTTAAGCTCATCGGTGTTACCCATAATCTCCATGCCACATTTCACCAAATATCTCTTGTGTTTACACGCGAACAAGAAACTTGGGACAAAGCAGTACAGCGCTGAGGCAATTGATGGGCCGGATTCCAGGTCTGGTCAGATAGTAGTGATAAGCGCCTAAACGCCTGGCATCGAAGGCCGGTTGCTACGACGATGTTGAGACATTTGCATGCCACTCATCATGGCGATAAAAAGGTAAGGTGAAACTCAAAAACCATCGCCGCAGCACACGCGCGGGCTGGCGCGCGACGCACGTACGCAGTAACCACCGCACGCCGCGCAACACCCCACAAATACATGCACACCGAAGCGCGCGAGCGCCGCACTATACAACAAACCAACACGCACCCAACACACAGCAGCATGAGAGCGTACGATGACGCGAAGAGCCACACACGCAGACTCACGAGCCGGCCACTCACGACGGACGCCTGGTCACCGTCACCAATAACAATTCATTCGCTCTGTGGATTCTTTCACTCTACAGCGGTCATTATCACCCGGGTCCAGCCGTGCTTGCGTGGCGACGCGCACCTATGGCGGGGAGAGAGCGCTTGGCGGCCTTCTACACGGCAGCTGGCGCTACACTCAGACGTCTCACCAGGACCTGGTGAAGGGAGGTGCACGCGTGTCGCGCGCGCCTGTAACAATACCCTCTTCCCATAAAAGAGAGCCTACGTCGCCATACGGTCGCGCAGGCTTACAAGATCAACCGTGGAGGAAGAAAGCATCAAGCGTACCTTACTCGACTGAGCAGCAGCGTGGCAGGTGAGTCATCCTCTCCTAATTACCTGCATCGTGCTATCTCCACATAGATATTTTGCCAAGCCACACGTGTCAAACCAACTACAAGAACTTAGAAAGTCCGCTGCCGACTATTACAGCCGCCGCTAACCCGCTAGTGTGTCGTGGCAGAGATGCATCGAACTACCGGTAACGCAGATCTGTCTATTCATTCGCGCCTCTGTCTACGGTTGTTAGCTGAACGGAATGTTTAGCGTTACAAAGCCCGCTAGCTAACCCATTTACTCAGATGATACAGACCTATAGCGATCGCGCACTAGGGCAATGCAGGCAACCCGTTTTCAAGGACACCTATTGGCTCATCCCTTTGGTAACAATCTAGGGATCTGTCATAGTCCTATGTATGGTATTGTTATGTAACGTAGGCATAGGTAATTGCCTGGAGTAAAACATCATAAAACCGACTTAAACGTGGCGTCACGGGGAGACGCATACTGCAATAGGTATTGGCCTGGGACCCAGTTCTCTTGCAATGCCAAGCAGAATTCAATTACAGGGAAGCTAGCTAAGCAGGCGAAGAGAGAAAATCAAGAAAAAGGATAAGCCAGACCACAAATAATTATGATAAATGAAGGAAACAGTGGGCAGCCGCAGAAACGGACGCGTGCAGATATTGGAGGTGGCGATCCCAGTAATGCCAGACGGGCCACCTTGAACCTTGCACACACGTCAGTGTAAAAACGCTGAGTACGCTTGACTTATTGTAAGAGCACAACGCTTCACCGTCAAATTTTGTAGCTAAGGGGTTCCCGACTGTGCACGCGGTTGTGATAACCCAGTGTTCCCCACCTAATCCAGTCCCAGGAAAAACGGGCACATCGATTAAACACATATTGATTTATGTAACGTTTCTAATACGGAGCGACATATTACCATGACATTTTATGGTTCCCCGACTCCCCACCAGAATCAGGAGGCACCATGGTGCTTGTACTTTTCACCGT